ACCATATTTTTCAAAATCCCTGTTCCGGGATCTTTTTATGACTTAGGTTTGAAGCCACGCCTTTGTTTTTTTTAATGAAATTTGTCATATCAGCAAACTATTTCCTGCATGTTCCAGTGAATACCACAAGATACTTGTTTTTTATATGCTCTAACTCTTTTCATTTGCATTTACTTTCCTGTTCATTCCTATTTCTTTTTTGCAAGAAATAGGTGTGTTCCCACTGTTAGAAATTTCAGGCTGTTCCCCAGCCTATTTGCTGTCTTTAATTAAACAGATTATTATTAAATTAATGCACATTCTCCATTTATGAGTCTTTTCACAGCAGAAATTTGATTTGCATTTCTGAAAGAATAGTAGTTTTGCCTTCTACTTTTACTTTGATTATTTGTCTTGGTAGTTGTTGTACCTGGTCCACATCTGATGAACTACACTTTAGAAGAGAGCATAATTGAGTGACTTGTTGGCAGAAACAGAGAAAGAATTAGCGATGATTCACCATATGATACTACTAGAAGTCTAAGTTTTTGTTTGTATTTTTTTTTTGGGGGGGGGGGGGGTGTGGGGACTGACATGCATTCATACCATTAAAAAAGTTCAGTCCTGTAAGCTCAAGTTTTGCTGGATTTAATTTTCACCTTCGTTTTCGACTCCAAATAGTGCCACTCCTGGAGATTGGTTGTCCCATGCTTCCTTCCATGTGCCTATTTGAATATTGCATCATAGTTGCCATGGCCATAATCACATAAACGCAATGCAGAAACATTAGTTCCAGCTTAAGACAGGAGTATCAAATTTGTTATATGGTATAAGCTTTGAACGTAAACCCAGATACAAATCTTTCACTCACTGAAAAGTTAAAACATCAGGTACTGGGTTTTTTCTGGATTGGAATTGTATCAAGATAGGACTAATTTGATCAAAGTATCACCCCAGTCTCACTCCTACAAGTAGTGATGTCCTTGAGCCAACTTAGGGGCCTGCGAGGCACCATGATACTGGGATCTGACGTGCAATCCTTTGCTCATACCCATTCATTGTCTGTTGCCTTGGTCCACTGGTCTTCATCTTCTCTGAGCCTGGCATGGTTGCCAGTATCTCCAAGACCTACTGTTGCCATGGAAATAGGGGCAGCGGTGAGCTGGTTAGACCGTTAGAGCAACAGTTTGGTAGAGGAAGGTGGCAGCTGCTGGTACTTGGGACTGTTAATTGGATGGAAAGGTGGCAGTGGCATGATGGTGGAAAGCACTGTTGCCTATGACACTTGGTGTTTACGCAGCAGGCAAGCGAGCCAATGTGTCCTAGATGGTGCATAGGCAAGCACATTTTTAGGGATTGCGGCAAGCAACAATAGCATGTTATAGCATATCAGCTTCACATGTGGACCCAGTCAGTGTTGAGTGTTGGGTGGACACCAAAATCTGATGTCATCCAAACAAGCCTTAGTGTTTTACTTACTAAGAGTATGTTTTATTTGATGATATATATAATTTTTTTATCAACAATTACATGCATATCAGGCGAATCCCTGAATCATCTTTTTTTAGCTCAACTCAGACACTCAAATCTGAGTTGGACTCTGACATCAGTGTCCCAGTAAGACTGGACCCAGTTAGCAATCTTAGGCTCTTAGTAAGTAATAATGGTGGTAGCGGCAAGTAGGCAGTTAGCCATGCAGCAACAGCCAAGACCACCCAAGCAGCAGAAAAGAGAAAACAAAGAAGGCTAGGAGTGGGCTGCCTGGAAGAGATGGTTTGGAGCTTGCAAGCGGTGGCTCTGTTTCAGGTGTTTTAATGACATTAGTGGTGACATCACTAGTTTCAGTATGGCAGTCGAATTAGCACTGAATCATGTCTTAGTGAACTATACACACATCTTTTGTGACTTACATGATTGGCTGATTTGTAGGTCACTTCAGCATAGCTAAGCTTACTAGGACACCATGTAACTGAAAACAAGCCAAAAAACTATAGCGGTTTTGGGCGAGTGGGTGATTCTTCTGCTTTTATGGTTGAAAGGTGCCTAATGGTTTGTTTGTGATTGGGATTTCATTTGTAGACCTAGGCAATAGTTTTTTTCTTTAGGTGAGAGTGAGTCCCATGGTCACGACAGGGAGTCCACAGAAGCACCTCTCACATATGTGTATCTAGTACATGTGGGAGGATGCTTTGTTAAGCTTAAATTTTATTTGATTTGTTTTGGATTGGCATGGTCAACATAACAAAAGAACAGTTAGAGACAGTGATTGAAAATTTTTTTTGGATGTTGTAAATGTACATGCGCAGATAGTTCACAATGCCTAATGTTGGGATGCTGTCTAATATAGATCAACTAAAATTGTCAACTGCCTCCATCATCCAGACATGTAGTATCTCAGGATCTTTCTTAGTTGTTTTTACTTTTTCCAATTTTATAGTTTTTTAATGCGATTGTATTATCTTTTGAGGATGCATTTTTGTGCTTATATTTAACATGTTTTTTCATGCATTTAAATTTCTTCATTTTAATCGCATGGACCTCATATTTTTACATCATAGAGTATAACTGTATAAGTAATAACTGAACACTCATATGGTTTAACTGAGTCTATAACTTCATTATCCATGGAATGGCATTTCACTTTATCTATTTTGTATTTGGTTATCCAAATATACTCTGATGCTTGCAATATCAAAATCCTATCCTGTGGCAGAGGGTGTTAGCTAAGGAGACAGAACTGCACTTGGCCCAGAAAGAGTTAAATAAATACAAGGATCAGCTCAACAATGCTGAGACAACCAGAGTGCAAGCGTTATCTGAGCTGGAGAAAGCTAAGAAAACTGTTGAGGACCTGACCAATAAGCTGGATGCTATCAACAAGTCCAAAGAGCTGGCTATTCAAGCAACAGAGGATGCAAAAACTCGAACAAAGCAGCTTGAAGGTGGAGACTCGCTTGAGGCTGTTGGAAAAGATGGCCCTTTAAAGCAGGAATTGGATGTTGCAAGGGAACAGTATGTTGTTGCTTTGGCAGATCTTGATGCAGCAAAACAGGAGCTTAGAAAGCTCAAGAAGGATTTTGAAGCTTCATTGGATATGAGGTTGGCTGCAGCACAGCAGGAAGAGGAATCATTGCACTTAGCTGAAACAAACAAGCAAAAGGCTGATCAGCTTCGCAAGGAGATTGCTACAATTCAAGAGTCTCTTACGCATGTGAAGGCAGCCACTGAACAAGCACATGAAGAAGAGGCTCAAATCCTTGCTGAGAAAGATGTTACTAGGAAAACATACAAACAAGCTTTGGAAGAAGCCGAGAAGAAATTATCCTCTTTGAAAAAGGATTTTGATCCTGCTGTTTATAAAAGCCTCAAAGAAAAGCTAGATGAGACCAATTTGGAGATTTCATCTATGCAGAAAAAGATTGAAGATGCTCGAGCTCAAGATTTGGAGTCTATTGCTACTGTCAGCACAGAGTTGGATGATGCTAAGGAAATGTTACAGAAAGTGGCAGAGGAGGAAAGTTCTCTTCGGAGTTTAGTAGAATCACTTAAACAAGAGTTAGAAGCTGTTAAGGAGGAGCATGATCAATTGAAACAGAAGGATACAGAAACTGAATCCATAGTTGGAGACCTACATGTGAAGCTTCAGAAATGCAAATCTGAGCTTGAGGCAGCCGTAGCTGCTGAATCAAAAGCAACGTCAGCTTCTGATGACTTGATGTTGGCCCTCCAACAGTTGTCTTCCGAGTCAAAAAATGCCCTGCAGGAAGCTGAAGTAATGCAAAAGAGTGCTGCAGATTTAAGGGATGAAGCTGAAGCTGCACGAGTAGCATTAGCAGAAGCTGAACAAAAGTTGCAATCTGCTTTAAAAGAAGCAGAAGAGGCAAAATCAGCTGAAGCAAAGGCCCTTGATCAGATCAAGCAACTATCAGAAAGAGCAAGCGCTGCTCGGGCCTCAACATCTGAATCAGGTGCGAAGATAACAATATCAAAAGAAGAGTTTGAATCTCTTAGCCGAAAGGTGGAGGAGTCAGAGAAATTGAGTGAGATGAAAGTTGCTGCCGCTATGGCTCAAGTGGAGGCTGTCAGAGCCAGTGAGAATGAGGCGATTAAGAAATTGGAGGCGGCTCGGAAAGAGATGGAAGACATGGAATTGGCAACAGAGGAAGCACTAAAGAGGGCAGAGATGGCTGAAGCAGCAAAGAGAGCTGTAGAAGGTGAGCTCAGGAGGTGGCGCGAGAAGGAGCAGAAGAAAGCTGCTGAAGCTCAGCCTGCTCCAGAAGCGCAAGCACATGGAACTGCATCTTCCCCTGTACAGAAAGCTTCTGCTGGAAAAGCCAATGAGAAGAATGATGGACCTCACAAGAACAGCAGAACACTATTGAAAAAGAGCTTTATGCTACCAAATATTACAAGCATGTTCCATAAGAAGAAGAATCATGCCGACGGCAGTTCTCCTTCACATCTTCCTGGGGACAAATCTGTATAATCTATCTGAAGCTCACGTCTGAATGATGTGATTCCAAACTTGGAATCATGGCTTTATGTATGATATTATATTTGTAGTTGCTTGTAATATATAATGTTATCCTGGTCTATATCTATGACTTGCCTGTTCCTGACTATTTGGGCTCCTGTGATAAGTTTTTTTCTTTTTTGTACCTCTGAAATTCGCTGTGGTTATATTGATCTGAGCAGTTTGTCTGCTATCAACAGAAATAACCACGTTTTATTCATGTCGTGCATTACTTTCAGATATAATGCAACGTTGAAGTGTTAAATTCTGGATTATTGAATTGTGATTTATAGACTGTCACAGTTGCCAATGAACATGAAGATCTAGATGTGTTTTGCTGGAGTATCATATATTCATCTTTGAAGATTAGAAAGTGTTGCCTCATCATTGGCATAATCATGTGATCTTAGGGGCTACCTTGAATTTTATTTGGGAGGTAATTTCCCCAATTAAATTATCTTTAGTTTCATTTTGGGGATAGTTTCTACAGTTAAATTCATATCCAATATGTAGTTCAGTATTGTCTAATTCAGCCATACATCACATTAGTAGTAATTTAATTGGTAACATCATATCTCAGCAGCACAGAATACACAAATGTTGTGAGAGCCTGTCAGGTGAGGTGCCCATACAAGTACACACAACGTGTTTTCTATATGCATGTGAAAATTGCAAAACTAAAGAATGCTAATGTCAATATACTTCTTTTATTTACAAGACGTGCAAAAATAAAATGCTAGGATACATGTAGGCGCAAGGTGGGAGGAACCTGGCAAGGTCGCTGCTTTCCGATGATTTTGTCCTGCATCATTCATCTCACATAACCAAATGGTCTGTTTCGTGAGAATTCCACAGGATCATTTTGTAAGAAAATAATGTCATTTTCCCTTATTTTCCATTGGCAATCCACTGATCCAAACAGGGCCCAAAACCTTAAAAAGTTTGCCTTTTTGGGGAGCTACTGTAAGCTCACAAAGGAGGTTCTGTATCCGATTGTGAAATAAGTAAAGCTGCCTAATCAATCCTTTCTAGATTATATTTCACCATGTTCTCAAGAGTGCTTCTGAACTCACTCCTTGGAAGACACTGCAGACTTTGGATAGCTATTTCACCCTTCTCTCTTGCAAGCTCATGAGCCCTCTTTATTCCACCACTTCTATGAACTAGCTCTATTGCAGTAGCCAAGGAATTTGTTTCACTGAACTCGGAATCAATGATCTCCCTGAGCTGTGGTTCATCTTGCAAAGCGAAAATGACCGGGGCTGTTAGATTACCCTTTGCCAGGTCACTTCCTGCAGGTTTCCCAAGTTGTTCAGCTGATTGGGTGAAGTCAAGAATGTCATCGACTACCTGGAAGGAGAGACCGAGATTCCTTCCGTATTCATACATTTGTTCACATATAGCAGTGCTGACACCACTAAATATGGCAGCTGACCTTGTGCTTGCTGCAATCAGAGAAGCAGTCTTGTAGTAGCTCTTGAGCAGGTAATCATCAAGGGTGATGTCACAGTCAAAAAGTGTTGATGCTTGTTTTATTTCACCACTGGCAAAATCCTTGATTACCTGTTAAAGAAGCACCTTTCTGGATGCAAATCATGCATAGTTTTAAATAAGGCACAAAAACTTGCTCAAACTCTTCATTACCTGACTGATGAGCTTTATAACTTCAATATTTTCAAGGTTTGCAAGAAACCAAGAAGATTGTGCAAACATAAAATCACCAGCAAGTACAGCCACCCGTGTTCCATATAGCTGATGAATAGTTTCCTTCCCTAAAAATAATAAATGTACCTCAGATTAAACAGGTAAATTTCTTGAGTCCCCTATTTCACAATGACAATAGAAAGGAGTTAAGTAAAATCAAACAGGATTGCCATATAAATAACGAAAACAAATAACAAAACAGTTTCGTTTTTTTCTTTTAGAGCGAAACAGAACAGTTTCTGTAATGCAACGACAGCATTTTTTGTTTTCAAACTAGATGAATGCATGGAGGCAAAATTCAGACAATGTATTTCTAAGAATATGCAGGAGAGTATTCTAAGAAGAATAAACGGTAGGCACATGTGTCACAAAAATGAAATAACAAAGATCGGTTTTTGTTGACAGTTCTGTTGGCTAAGAGAGAATGGTTATTACTGCCAGTACTGCTGGCCTTCCATAAAAACAACATAATACGTACCTCTTCGCATCCCACTATCATCTATGACGTCGTCATGTATTAAACTTGCAGTGTGGATCATCTCTATGATCTCTGCCAAACGTTGGTGTTCTGTAGTTAGTTCCCTGTAATCCAAAAATCAAAGATCTTGAGGGAATAATTTTAAAAGACTAAAGTATATGATAGGTGTCTAAACTTGTGTGGTGTCACCTAGGTGCTTGAACTTGAGAACTGCACATTCATGTCCTGGGATTTGTATAAATGGGTTAACAAAGTACCATATGCCATTTTATGGTAATTAGAAATGACATGTGACACCCTTAGTCCAAATCATAGTTTTGTTTTCCAATTGAAATCAATAGATATTAATATTTTGCAATTCGAAGGAAAATTTCACACGTCACTAAGATTTTTATTTACTTTGGTAGAAATTCTTTAGTCAAACTTGATTTAGCAGGGTTAAAGTGCTGCCTGAACATTGGTAACTTATTAAGTTTGGGTTGGATAGAAGCCAATTTGCATTTCTGTAATTCGGTGACTTAAATAACACACATGTTATGGTTTAGGGACCTATGAGATAGTGCACTCTATTCCAAACTGTCACACCCTGATTTTCGTTTCAGGATTTATAAATTATTTAATAAATTATTAATAGAATTTATATTAAATGTTCATTAATTTACAAGTGAAGTTAAATGTGGAAAATAAAATTTCCTAAATACAAAGCATGGATGGATTTAATTTTTATTAAATTCTCCATGGTTAATTATACTCTCTGGAATTTTCTCGGATTTTTCGGAGCTCAATTGTTAATTTTAATCATACAAAGAGAAGTTCAGCAATTATTTAAATATTAAAATAATCATTAAATGATCTAATTATAATTTTTAAGAGTTTTTCTTGTTTAAAAATCCTTAAATTATAAATTGTTGTTTAAAAGGAATTATTAGAAATAATTTTAAAAGTTTAAAAGAGAAGATCTTTTTTTTAATTTGCTAAATCTCAATATAAAATTGAACTAGATAAAATTTTATTAAATACTATGCTTGCTCCTCTATTTTCTAGATTTTTCTGGGAATTATTTGAGCAAGGGAAGTATTTTTAATAAATGAAACATCATTTCACGAATTATTTTAATTGAAAAAGTTTTAAAAATCCCTTCCTAAGCCGTTGGGCCGTTTTCGGCCCAACTCTTCTCTTCCCCGCGCGGCCGAACCGGCCCAAGCCGGCCCAGCCGACGCCGCCCGCCCTCTCCTCCCCTCAGCCGCCGACAGGTGGGACCCACCTGTCGGGTGTGTCTTCCACCTCCGGCCGAGCCCAAGCCGGCCGAGATGCCGAGCCCGAGCCGCCTTCTTCTCCTCTCAAATCTGCTCCAATCCGACTCTTTTTCTTCGGGATTTTTGAGGGGATTTTATCCTCACATACTCCTCTATCTTTTCCCTCAAGAATCGGAGCAAATGGTTGAGTATCTTGCCCGAATCAAATTCGTTTTCGAGTTTATCTCCAAAACCGAGTTTTGATTATCTTGGATCGATTCCTCTCGTTTGGAGTCCGATCTCTCTAATCCAATGCTATAAATAGCATCCCCTAGTCGTCCTCTACCGTTTGCCCCAAGTCCCGAGCTCTCTCGTCGCCCGTAGCGTTGCCGCCACGTTGCCCTAGCCGCTGCCGTCGCCGGCGACCTTCCAGCCGCGTCGCGCCGCCACGGTAGTCGTCGCCGTTGCCATCCGTCGCCGCCGTTAGGTGCGCAAGGAGGTGAGGAACCTCGGCCGCCCGTCCCCCTTCGCTGCCGACCACCGGAGTTCGCCGTCGCCGTCCAACCCGAGCCGCCGCCGCCTCTTGCGTCGTCGCCGGCCGTCGTCGGTTGTCGTTGGGCGCTTTGGTGAGTACCATCGGGTTCGTCTCGATGCCCTCTACGCGTAGGTGCCCTCCTTTTCCCCGGCCAAGGCCCCTATCTCCGGCGAGCTTGCTAACCCTAATCGGCCGATCGTGGGTGACGTCATGCTGACGTCATCGTCCCTTTTTCCTTTTCCTTTTTTCTTTTTTTTCTAATAGTTTAAATCTTTGGAAAATCATAACTAAATAACCGTAGATCCGTTTTAGGTGGTTCAAGTTGCCAAATTTTTCTAAAATAAAGATCTACATATTAAAATTGTCCATAAATTGAATTAAATTTATTTAGTTTTTTTTAAATGGGCTTTAATTAGATTTGATCTTGTAAAATTCATAATAAATTCATTTGAAGTCAGAATGAGGCCGTTCAAGTCTCATAATTCATCTAAAATTATGATCTACATGTTTGTTTACTTTTTATGTACTGTTTATTTGGTTTTTATTAGTCTTTTTCTTCGTTTTGCGTGTTAGCTTGTCGTTTCCGTCGTTGCGAAGGTTCGTGAGTGCGTCGGAAGTGATCAAGAAGATTAATTGAAGACTGATTATTGCAAGGCAAGTCACACAGATCCTAAACACAATCCTTTGAGCATGTTGATCCTATATTTAAATTCTCTATTTATTTCAACTGTGCATTTATTTTCGAATGTCATCGGGTGGTGTGAACCTATTCCTTTGTTATGGCCAATTTGCATTGAATGCCCTATTCCTTGATACCTTGGGTAATAAATTGATTAGCTTGAACCTTATATATTGGATTGGTTCAGCTAAATGCTATATGTAAGTTTGCTTAGCTATGCTTAGAAACATTAGCCTAACTAAAGGGATTAATTATAAACTATGTTACATTATTCTTATTAATTATGGTTACATTTAATGGTAGCTCACGATGGTTAATCGTGTGATGATAATTAATTGATAATTAAAACCTGGTTAAGGTGGGTTGTGAGCATATGGTTTTGATGGTTGTGCTCATGACAATTAAGGACCGGTTCGCGAGCTACTGTTGTGAAACATTTTCCGTGCCAACCACAAGCCAGCGTGGGCACCGGCTTTATCTCTTGTATAGCATGATTTATTATAGTGTGCCAGACTGTGAAGTGGCGAGAAGTCCATGGGGGTCGCTGGGGAGTCCATGCCTCTGGTTGTAGAGGGGGTGATTATGATCCAGGAATGGTGCACCGTGGTGAGTTGTGTTATGCAGGGGATAATGTCACAGCCTCTATTCGGGTACTTTCCAGTATCGCGACGCATGGTAGACATGATGTTGAGGTTGTGTCTTGTGGGTACAGTGGTACACCTCTGGCCAGAGTAAAACTATTCGAATAGCCGTGCCCGCGGTTATGGGCGAGTTGAGCAATGTTTTTCGTGATTAGTCTCACACCTCTCACAATAATTATGGATGTAATAACTGGTAATAATTTGCTTAGCTCCTGGTTTGGAGTTAGATCTGTACAGCCGGGTATGGTTGTTCAGGATGGTTGGGCCTGTGCAGCATGGGTGTGCTGTTCAGTGTTGATTAAAATTTCTGATTAATTACTCCACTGTTTTGTTTCTCTTAAATGTTTTGCTAAATGCTGCTTTTGCAAATGAGCCTATATTATGCCATCCTTTGGTATCCTTGTGCACTTGCATATTTGCTGTGTGGCTTGTTGAGTATGTCATATGCTCATTCTTGCAATAATCAATCAAACCTCAGTTGAAGAAAAAGGATCCAGAAGGAGAAGACGTTTGGCTTATACCCAGTTGAGCTGCCTGTGGGAGTGGAGTCGGAGCTTCGCTAGATTTTATTTTTCCGCTGCAGCTTTCTTCATGATGAGGACTAAGTGCCTCTTAAGTAAGTATTTATTTGCTTTAGTTGTTGATGAATCTGTATATTAAATTGTCAGTTTGTGTACCTCGGCTGATTCCTGGACGAGGATTTTATGCACAAATAAGTTCGGAAATTACTAGTGAATTTCCGGGCGTGACACAAACCTACTCACATCAATGATAATGCAGCCAAAAGGAACTTACAATAAACCAGCCAATTCAGCAGTTGCTCTGGATACCAGAAAAACTAGTGCCGGTCTTAATCTTTTTCCACCGGCACCAAATATTTGTTCAGCCGCAGAAACTAAAACTGGATTTTCTGCACCAACAAGCTATTAAAATTATGTCAGCTAGTTATTGTAACAAGAACGTACATAAGTACAATTTCCTCTTGAAAAAAGTTTAGGTACTAGTATTTGATATGTCATTCTGTGATGTTTGATGTCTTGCTTAAGCAGACATTGATGATCTATAGAGGAAGGATTGGAAAAATGATAGTATTGTGCAATGTCACTACTCAAGAGCAGAAAACATGTCAAAGCTCAGCAATTATAGAGAAGTTGCATAAAATAGCAAACATGGAAGAAGTTATTGAGTGTGCAAAAGCACTACATAAGAGCTACTATAAGGCATTTGCTCATTCAGTCTACTTCTGACTCCCAACTTCCCAAGCCTCTTTGGCTGTGTATATCCCAGGGTTTACAATTTCGATTTCGGTGATTTCGGTAGGACCGAAATTTAATTTCGTGATTTTCGGCACTTTCCAGAAATTTTGAAAGATTTTGACTGGATTTGAAAAAACTTTGACCAAATTCCACAAAAAATTGAGAAAACCCGAAAATTTCGGTCAGTATATTGATTGCCGGTGGGGTCCGAAATTTCGAACCGAATTGTAAACACTGGTATATCCATTTAGAGATATAGAGGCCAGATTTCTATCCATTATCCAAAAAAACTTCCCAAGCCTCCATTCCTCGATAACTGGGGTCATTAGTTAGTTCAAAAGGAATGGACCATTATGCGACTCTGCACTGTTTACTCGCTCCTGCAGTATATTCCAGTAACACTGCAAATGATGGGCATATTTCTTTCCCTTTCAACCTTCGTTGCACATTAATTTCCCTCGACGAACGCAAGGAACTAAGAATACATTTTATTTTTCCAGAAGTTACAACCATTAACATATTGTTCAACCAGCCAACCAACCAAGTACTTAAATTGTCCACAACTTTATCACTAAGTGCAAATTTTTTTTATTCTAAAATTTATGGACTAAAAACTGTCACAGTTCGATACATTTCCAAGCAAAATCAGTGCAACTTTTTTTTTTTTTGTATTGGACTATGTCGTAGCAACCGTGAGCCTTGTACCAAATGTGCTAGGAGAAAGAGAAGCTATTCAATCATACTTGTATCATGAACAAGCTGAACAGAATGATGCAAACTTTGGGAGGAAAAGGTGAAGCTCACCGATTTGAGGTTGTTGTTAAGCTTGAGCAAGTCGTCCGCCACAACCTCCAGCAGCGACGACACCGAAATGCGCTCGGCGACGCCGACGCCGGTCGCCGCCGCGTCAGGAATCGTCGCGGCCGGCACGTCAACAGCAGCAACACCTACACCAAAGCACACCCAACTGCTCAGCCTCACCCGCCCAACACCGCCGCCGCCGAGAGCAAGGCAAACCAGCAGAGGAGCCGCAGAGAGAGAACCTGGCTTGCTGGGCGAGACCACGGAGCAAACACCTGGCGCGCGCCGCGTCGGCGGCGCCGCGCGTCCGACCCAGCCGCACCGGAGCCGCTGCGGAGGAGGAGGGGGAGAAGGAGGAGGGATCGACGGCGACGCCGCGGCGGTGGCGCGGCGGGACAGGTGCGAGGACGACGCGAGGGAGGACGGCGCCGCCATGGCTTCGTGGCCGCTTGCTTTGCTTGCTTGCTTGCTAGCTTCCGCTCCCGCTCCGCCGTGCGTCCTCTTCTGGGATCTCGTGAGCGCGACGCGGCGGGCAACGAGAGGCGAGGGGTGGTGGGTGGGCGTGGGCGTGGGCGGGGGTGCCCTGGCGTGCGCGCGCGGCGACGGCTCGTTTTTTGTATGGCGCCGCGTGCACCTGCCTTATCGGCGCGCACGAGAGATTGGGATAGGGGGCCAAGCCTCGTGCTGCGGATTCGCCCACGTCGGCGCGGCCTACCACAGCGTGGCACATCTCGACTCTTGCTTTGCGGGGGGAAATATGTAGTAGTAGTAAAAAAAATTGCAAATTATAAATATATAGGAAAAAGTCTAAATAACCCCTTAAACTTTGAATGTAAGTCCGTTTAGCACCCTGAACTTTGAAACAGGACATTCAATCCCCTAAATTTTGTAAAACCATTTATACAACCCCCTGAGGTGGTTTTGTATAGTGGTTTTTATCTAATTTATATATAAGTTGTATGAGTTTGATCACATGTCATACACTTTATATATATATATATATATATATATATATATATATATATATATATATTTATATATATATATATATATATATATATATATATTTGACTTAAATCATTTTCTTTGCTTCTTATTAGCTCTCACTTACAAACAAGTACCAACATAATAATGGTATGATATGATATCACTGTATAAGGATAAACTAATGACTTATAACTGGTGATATGCAAATATATTATATTAGTTATTCAAAATTTTTCGTTTAAGCTTCCAAAATATGCAAAACTATCATCCAAAACCACCTTAGGATGTAATATAGATGGTATGGCAAAGTTCAGGGGATTGGATGTCCGGTTTTAAAGTTTAGGGTGCTAGACGGATTTCCATATAAAGTTTAGGGGTTTATTTATACTTCTTCCAAATATATAAAACGGTCAAGATTTGTTCATGTCATTATAGGTAAAACAAATTTAATCATGACTAAAAGGTTTACTTATAGCATAGACGAATCTCATACGTTCATTTTTTTTTAATTCTGCGATAGTTTTCAGGTTTTCATTGTATATTTTCCGTCTTTCCTTGACTAGTTATTTTAAACGGCTGTGCAAAAACACTTGCAACTTTAACAATGAAGTGGTCTGTGTGTGTGAGAAAACATGGAAGCGTAGTCTATTTTGGTGGACCTCATGAAATTGGGAAATTTAACTATTTGCCACCCTTATAAATGGCAACTCTCCAAATGCCATCCTTATGGTGGTTCTTACACAATTTCTCAAATGCCATCCAAATGCCATCCATTTTCTCTTATTTTTTCCTTTTCCTGATTTGTGGGGCCTACAAGGGGTAAAATGGATATTTTATATGGCACATCCAAGCTGACAGCATGAGGTGGCATGCCACATTAGCAAAAGTGGCAAATTATTAAGAACTTTTCTCTCTCCGATGGCAATTGTGTACGAACCACCATAAGGATGGCATATGGAGAGTAGCCATTCATAAGAGTGGCAAATAGTTAAATTTTCCGACCCATGAAATTGGTGAAACTGTTTCTTGTTTATCTTTCCCCGGGTCTTATGTGGCATAGTTCTACATCAGTGAAATGTTTTAAATGCACATAAACATTTTTGTGATATCAAAGTAAGGGAACGCACACCATTTTTGTCTTATATGGTTGTTTTTTACAAAATTATTGTGGGAGCATATGCCTGTAGTTTAGAGAAATCTCCCATGTTATTTGAGCATTAATCTCTACGCTAAGTAATGTAATACTGTATAATACTAGAGGTTGGACTTTGAATTGTCGTTGTTTAAATTAAAGATAATAACTGGAACAACATTACAAACTGGTTTTCATGTCATAAAGTATTTATATGTACCTTACATGTCAAAAAATGATTATTTTAAGATATTGGATTAAACCGGCCTCTAAAAAGAATTATTTATATGTATCTTACGTATCAGAAAATAATAACTGTGTAGTACCTTGTTTATGTTCCATATCATAAAATATTTATATTACAAATTGGTTTTCATGTGACTTAGAAAAAAAGATCTACTGAAATTTACTCATTCTTCATTATTGTCCTTAGCTTGACTAGCGCAGGTGAAAATGTAAGAAATAAAGAGAACCAGTGCAAAGTGCAAACCAGGTTCTTGTTGAATCCCTGTGTCGGCACAGAAGAAGCTAAAAACAATGAGCTACAAACATTATTGCAACTGAAAATTGTACTAGCACCGCTGACTCTGTTCTGGTTTGGACAAGGCTGTGTGGCTCAATTCTCATGTTGTTCTTCACACACTCTTCATTCTCCACTCTCCAGTGTTACAATGCCAGCAATTGCCACAAATTTTGACAATTTTACTCTCTGCAAAAACTAATTATACAAATGAACGGTGCCCAAAACTTATTTTAAAAATGACCCTTTTGTTTAGCGTCAAATCGTGTGCCGCTGAATTTAGACACCTCAGCGCTAAATAGCGTGGCACTGAATACACGTTGGGATGCTGACTCAGACTCCCATCCGCGGTGGCACGTCATTCAACGCTAGTTGACGTGGCGTTGAGGTGTCTAAGGTCAGCGCCATACGATTTGGCGCTGAACAAAAGGGTTATTTTTAAAATAAGTTTTAGGCACAGTTCATTTATATAATTAGTTTTTGCAAAGGGTCAAATTGCCAAAATTTATGAGCAATTGCTATGTAATCTTTGTTTTTTTTTTGCCAATTATAATCGATGCAACGATGGAACAACATTTCCTTCTCTCGGATGAGAAGCTAAATAATTGTAGAAGAGATCAATCATGGTTTTCTGACTTTCAAGTAAAGTGCAACTGAAGAGAGGTTCTGGCAGGATCACAGGCTGTCCACATCTGAAACCTTAAAGCCCATTGCTTTTAATAAATCAGCAGCTTAAATTCTTGTATCTGCCCACGTTCTGTTATGCATCACGGCCAGTAAGTACAAAAGTTAAATGATTAAGGTTCCGAATTGAAATTTCAGACAGTATGGTACAGTTCAATAACGAACGATTACGGCCAGCATTTCAGTTTCAGTTTCAGTCAATAATCAGCCTAGATTCACACTAGAATTTTGTCAGGAGTTTTACTGATAGAATGGTATTGAGAAATGCAACTGCAGTTGTTCAAAAATAACAAAAAGAAAATCCATACCTTTGCAGCTCTTCAGGATTCTGCAGAAGTGAACCTCTGTAGCGGTTATCATTCCACTTGAACGATTTCCTCATGATCATCCTTATCCTTTATCATGTCGCGTTCCCACCTTCTGCTGATCTCAAGCGCAGGGCGTCCAGGGTGAATGCTGGCTGCATCCCTCATAGCAGCTTCCGCAGCCTCCACCCTCTGCCTCGTGGCTCCTCGGCAATCGACCGTGACACTAAGTTGCTGGAGGCTTGCGAGGTGCTCGAATCCGAACTCAAAACCGATCTTGGACCCTGTTTCCTCTGCTCTAATGTAGAAACGCAGCCGTCGGAGATCCGGCATTGCTCACAGCATCTCAAGCCCGCCACCGTGATAATAGCTTCCAAATTCAAACCCCTTCAGGCACCGGATTTGTTGACTGCTGATGATAAGCCTCTCCTCGGGGGCATGCTGTGAATTCAACTTGATCAAGAGTTCCTCCTGTTTAATGCTACAAACCCATAGCGAAAGATGAGTGAGATTAGCAAGACACGCCATCTGCTCTGGGATATGACTAATACGCACTCTGTATATGACCATCTTCCGGAGTGTCGGAATAGTGTGTTGAGTTGTGATCCAAATTCATTTGCACTTAATAAAGGCCAACTTCTGCCGTGCACCTGGGTACGCCCGGGGGTGCGGGGGCGGAGCCCCCGTGAAACGGATCGTCATTCCTTCTAGGGTTCCACCATATATATACCTCTTGTAAGCCGCCGTGCGGCGTTGTAACCTCACCCCAGATATAGTGAAGATATTTTGCTGGCTAGTGCCCGTGGTTTTTTCTCTTCTGTTTTGGGAGGGTTTTCCACGCTAAAATCTCGTGTCTTCTGTGATTGATCTATTGTTTTTTATCGTTTGTTTGCCTATCGTTTCCTAACACAGTGCAGCACAATATGTCCATCAGTTTTCCTATCAGGAATCCATTGCAGCCAATGTGTAGTGACTGAAGCGCATGCTCACCCATCATAGCGAGAGATGACTTCAAAGATTCTTCGTAATTTTCGGTGTTGTGATCACCAAGTTTGTTGCTGTCATGCAGCATTATGCGAAGCACACTTAGCCTGGTCAACCGCCTCAACTCTTGCACAAATTTTATGGAGTCATATTTTCCAGCATCCGATAGCTCCTGTAAGGCTTGTAGATCCCCAATCTCATTTGGCAATTCTACATCATTGCCAACAAGTAGACGCGCTAAATTTTGCAAACGACCTATGGTCGGTGGCAATTTTTTAATTCCACTATGGCGTATATCTAGTGTCTGCAAATACTTCAGGTCCCCAATTTGCTCTGGAAGCTCAGTAATACCATCAGAACTAATGCTCAAATATGCCAGCCGGAAGAAGCTCTCAAGATGTTTAATGTGTTGTGTACCGATACCATGGCAATTTTCAAATACCAGTACTCTCAAACAATGAAGTGTTTGCAGATCAGGTCCCACATCTTGTACACCATAGTAGTTCAGTGAACGAAGCTGTGAACACTTACCCATAATCTCCTGCATCGCTTTATTGCCCAGACAGTTGGATTGGACAGATCAGGGTTTACGATTCCGACAGGCCCTTTCGTTTCGGGCACTGGCGGAATTCGGAATTTCGCGAAATTCGATGGAAAACCGGTAAATTCTGAACAAATTTCATAAACCAAAATTTAAATACAAATTCCCTGAGTTTGCCGACAAGTTCTCGAAAACCGGTCGGTTTTAGCGAAATTCCGATCGAAATCATTGAAATTTCGATCAGTAATCTTGCCCATGTAAGTGCTTTCCTTTTTTAAATTCTTTATTATTTTCTTTCCTATGTAAGTTTCAGTAAATACACACAATACATCATTTTTTTCAAAAATTTATATCCCAATAGGTTGTATGAATATCATAGTATTTATAAGATTTTATTTGATTTTTTTTCTTTTTTTATCAATTCAAATTTGAATTTGGATGAAACTCCTCGAAATCTCATACGGTTTCTACTTT